AAAAAAAAAAAAAAAAAAAAAGAAATCATACGACAATCCATTTAATTTCTTAGTTTTAAAGTCTCTATTTCGATATTCATGAGTCATTTTACGTCACGTAGTGGATGGGAAACTGAGGACACACTTTTCTCGAAAATTGTAAAAATTCAAACATGTGTGAGAACATTAAGGAATTTTTTTTTTTTTTTAATGAATAAATTTACACGTAACAGAACCTTCAGTGAAACATTCAGCGAAACAGTAAAGAAAAAATTGCACAACAAGTTTTAAGGAGTCACCGTGAAGAGGAAACTTTAATCTTCAAAATGATGGATTGAATTTTTTACAGTTTTCGAGAGAAACGTGCCCTCACTTTGTGAAGTCAACTTCAAAAGAAACGAACTGTCGCCACTGTCAAAGCAGAAGCTTCGCTCTTTAAAACGAGACTTTAAAGTGAATCTTTTTTTACAAAGCTATACCAGTTTAAGTTATCCACAATTTTCCACTATCAGTGGTACAGTCACGGCTCCTCGCTGTACGATCCACGTACGATGACCAGCTTTATCTTGGAAAACAAACTGCTGCGCAACGATGTTTTTTACATGCCACTCAGAAGTTGAGGGATTCGTTTCTCTGCCATTTACTTTTATTGGGAACTAATCAGAAAATGACAGAGTAATTATTCCCTTTTACACTCACGTCGAAAACTTTCTCATTCGTTCCAATAATGTCTCGAATTCTACAGAGTTGTTCAAGAATGTCGAATGTATTGGGAACCATTCTACGTCCATTTCTTCCTGTAGTTTTTTTTCACGCGGTATACTCGCGTGATTTATGATAGGTGACCCGTATGGATGACGTTGCCCTCGCTGAGTGTTCTTGTCTGAGAAGTTCGTAAGATTTTCCCGAGGTTACCGCCCTGTCTGGCGACTCCGGGAACGATCGAACCGAAGGCAACTCGAATCCCTCGCCCTATTTCACTCCCGCGCGCTGCTGCTCACGAAATTTCTCGTGCAACAGCTTTGCTTTATTGCCCGTGTCATTGGCTCCTGCTAGCCGCCTTGGATGAGCCAAGAATTACGAAACAGAAACGTGAAATGCGTTGTCATCGAATGATGACACACTACGATGAAATACATTTTCAGGCTTCAGGACAGATGATCAAACCGCTCCGAAATCGCGCCAATTATTTAAACGGGAGAGGGAGAAATGCCTTTTGCCCTCACGAAAATAAAAATCGATACGAGAGTAACGTGCGTTATTGAGGTGAAAGACAAGGGCAACGTTAAAGTACAGAACGATAAGTGAGACGAAGACAGGCAAGTGTAAGTAGGTGAGACGGATTATTATAGCAGTTACTGTGGAATTAGGAGAAGAAAGAAATTCACAGTGAAGCAAAAAAGACAGATCGAAAGAACAGATACGATGCATAACTGCGGTTGATAGTTTCACCCAAGTGCGAGTTAATTATTTTTTTTTTTCGTATATTTATTATTTAAAAAACGAGCAATAATAACTTGAGAATATGAAGTAAATTAAGAATACGAAGCAACGAATCGAGGTTCAAAGTATAAATCGACACTTGTGCTTTGCAATGTTATTCCATTTTAAGCAACTGAATTATATTCTATTGAAATCGAAATTCATTACACGATAAATTTAATTGTAAAAAAGATCAATGTACGAAACAATAAGAAAAATATTACAATTAAGGAACACCAAACTCTTCATTCATGCACAATTTATACGTCGTAGTCATACAAAATTTATATGTCATACGCAACTTATATGTGGATGAATTACACTTAGGTGTTTCAAGGATTGACGAAAGCTCTCTTTTTTAAAGAGGCAAATTGAGACGGAGAAAAAGTCGACTGTGTTGGTATGGTGAAATTTTGGAGGAATGAGACATAGAATAGAAAAGGGAAAGAGATCAGGAAAAGTACGACTGGATGTAGGAATTAATTAGGTTGAAAGTCGGCTGAGAATTATCGATAAATCCCGTTTATGATTTTGAATGGAAAGCTAGCCCCGGTGATTTTTCGCCTAGCTGTGGAAATGTGTGAACACGATGGCAATGTAACCAGGAATTATAAAATTAATTAAAATTAAAGTTACCTAATTGGTCCGATTATTTATTCAGAATCGATCATTTATAATGAACAGTCGTGCAAATAAATAAATTCGACGTTGTTTAACGTTTCGTGAACTGGTTTCCCCGCTAAATCTACGCGCCGGTTAAACACAGTATTTAATTAAAAGTACGCCGCCGCCGCTGCCTGCGTACAACGCCCGACAAAATTGCGATAGGTGCATGTTATTCAAAGATCAACATCGCCGATATATCTTCCGTTTTCCCGTCAGTGTGACAAACGTCGTATTTGCCAATATCGTTACAACAACGTGAAACACCAGCCGCTGATTGCCAAAGCGTTAAATCGACTGCAAGGGAATTGGAAAATCAAAACGTTCCCGGGTTCTAAATCTAAGCTCCGGTACGTTGCGAGTAAATCGCTCGAGCCTCATCGCGACGCGGAGGGTCATAAATAACAAACGAACGCGTCGTGCCACGATCCATGGCAGAGTCTTGTCTGAATTATACAGAGCCAGTAGCTACCTGTTCGCCGTCCAGGTCAGATGGAAAAGGTCGAAAAGGCGTTGTAAAGCCAAAGAACCGAAGTGAAGGGGCTGGCGATCTCCCCGAAGAGCCAGCTCTCTCACGATCGTCCCGCGACGGTGGTCAAAATCCGCGCGATATCTCGTGGAATTATCGTCCGCCGGAGGCGAAGCGAGCTTAAACGTCGCCACAGCTGTGCAGTTGTCATCCATCGGGACGAAGGATCGATCGGTCGATCATCATCGATGAACGGGAATAATATTCCATGCGCGAGGTAAACAGAGTTATATCGCGACGTGCAACAGCCGCTCGACCGAGTTAGCAAACCGGATCCGATCGGTTAAACGGTATTATTTGCCCGAGACGAGCAAAAGACACTGCCAGCTATAATCGTCTGGAGGGGTGATTCTTCGAGGGGATAATCGTGATTGGGATCACTCTTCCTCGTCTGCATTATTTTACTTCGCCTCGCGAAGGTGAAGGGACGTGAGCGGAGGATGAAGCAAAATCGGCCATCTTATTTCAGTTGAGAAAGTCGTAAAGGAAATGATCGAGTGATTGGATCTTAACCAGCAATTTCGTTCGTCGATCTTTGCGGTGACACGAGTTCCACGACGACTTTCACCGTTATCTGTATGCAAGTAGGAATCGGGGCATAAGTGGAGATGCTGGTCGTGGATTTTTCGCATGGAAGTGAATGCGAATGGGAACGGGAGATTCGAAGGAAAAGAGGAACGTAAAGGAGATAGCAGATCTGCCCGAAGACCCTTTCATAACCCTTGGGATTTTTTGATCAAACGACCAACGAAATACGTGTAATTTTCCATTTTGCGTGTATTTCCCTGTATGTGTGTGTTAAATAAATACTTGAGCGAAGTATGTAATTTTCGATGTTTAAAACAATCGCGCGAAATGTTGATCAACGCGCGATTGAGCGATTCAGTGAAACAACACGTTAAATATCTGCGTAGAACGTGAAACAACACGCGCAATATGACGCGATGTTTTTGAATAATTCGAAATAATCGGACGAAATACCACGATGCTTTTGGATCGCATCGGTTATTCATCCAGTGTAACGCGCGTTCTAAACCGGTCGTTGGCCAAAGCCAAGTTGGCCAAAGTTATTTGGCGAAACAATTTTCCAATCATTTTGCACAACGTGCATGCACGTCATAGATGCCTGAGGAACGAGTCTCGTAAAAATCGATTTCCCATCGGTGGCGCGAGGCCACCGGAAGGAAGTTCGCCGGTACGTGTTACAAATTCCGATACACACTGGCTACGATTATTGCCTGTCGTGTTCATGATCACTCGCACGCGAGAAAACGATATTGCCCCTTGCGACGTAACAACAGAGGCCGCGATACATTAAAAAAATAGAAAAATCGCAATTAATTAAATACCTCTCTCGAGTAACGTCGACGAAACTTTGAAAAAGAAAAGAGCACGTAAAATTACACGCTTTTTAATAATATATCTTCAAAGAGAAAATAAAAGAAAAAAAAAACGAAAGTACATTAAGAAGCGAACTACAACGAACGCGAAACTTTCATTGTTCTATTTATCTTCGCTCTGCTTCACTCTGCCACGTACCCGCCATACTCATTTTCCTCCATTTCTCTCCCTTCAGTTTTGCATAAGTCTTATGAAAACGCGCTTTATTTTCGCGAAACTGGGTTACCATTTATTTTATCAGAACTGTATCGCGTTTCTCTCTTTCTTTCGCAGTCGGTCAGTCGCGCAGAAGGCAACGCGGAAACCACGGCAATTTTCGTTTGGGCGAGCGAAACGTTTCCATACTAATTAACGTATAACTACGCTTGCGACTCGGCGAGAAACTTTTCGCCCGCGTCGTTTGATCAATCGAAAAAAGGCAGCCACTGTGGCAGTCGTGAGTAGCAACACCGAGCGAGAAAAATTTCAGCTTGCCAAGTGTTCGCCAAACGTTAACGAACTCGATCGCGCGATTTTAATATTTCCCCCCCTTGTGCCGATCATTATCGTGTTCGACGAAGAATCGAACGAACAATCTCGTCGCTCGAGAATCTCGACGTTATACGCTCGACGTCGCGAAACGAAGGAAACGGGAAATCGCTTTCGGGAATAGAATAGAATTGCTTCTTTGAATAAGCCTTGCTCGCGGTGGCGATCGAGGCTGTACATACAGGTTGATTTAAAAGCTTTATTCTAACCTGATGTATTTTTTACGAATATTGTTCTACGGCTGAACGATAAATAAAAAACTTCCTCTCCAACTCGAACGCCATTTCCCCCTATCTTTAATTAAGATCTTCGATGAAAGTAAATCCTCTCGGACGGCGAGAAGTTTCTCGGTTTGAATCGCTCTTCGATAATAAAAAGTCACGAGTCACATTGATGCGTATCGACTACATTTCAAGCATGTTTAAGCAAAGAAGAGAGAAAGAAAAAAGAAAAAAGCGATTCGCGGTTAGATGGAAAGTTATCAGGTCGGAAGACGTAGCGAGCATCGGCGAGCCGTTGAATCTCGAAAACGGAAATGTGAATGAGAATGACTGAAGGGGAAAGTGGTAGAGAACGAGGCCTGGGATATATATGAAGTTCGAAAGAGTTCCATCGAATATTTCGCGAATGAACCTCTCGACAAAAGCGTGATGGATTTTTAAACGTGCCCCCGATATTTCAGCTCGACCATTTTCCGATCCAATAAACACCGAGGCGATATCTTTGCTACGCTACTG